ATCGGCGGGGGTTTGCAAAGCTGGCTTCCCCACGATCTTCACAACCCCCCGCCGATCACCTGTGCTTCGGGGCTCTCTTTCTCCATCCCTCGCAACACAGCTGATCAGCGGGGCCTTTGGGATAATCATGGGGAAGCGCTTCCCCATGATCATCGCAAAGTGATTTCTCCCATTAGAAACATCGTTATGCGATCGCAAAAACATTTGCAAAAACTCAATCGCTATGTGGATTCATCGTTAAACGGGGCGCTCGTTAAGTGAGGCACCACTGTATTGTTCATGCTCTTTCTGCCCAGCCACAGGATTTATAAGATGAGTAAAAGCCATTTCGTTGTCTTCTGACATTTAGATTTATTATGACTACTGACAAGATTGGCACAATGATTTTATGAGGTGTACAATATGTTCTAGGCAATGTGCTAAAGAATGGTCCCTGCTCACAGATTTACCACCTAAGTAGATATCCTATGCTGGAAGGGAGGGAGGGAGGGAGGGAGGAAGGAAGGAAGGAAGGAAGGGTCAGCAACAGCTCTTTCTTCTGTGGTTGATGGATTGTATGAGGTTGGTCTGTCCTTTGCCATTATGTTTTCTTGGAAGCAGAGGATATGGTCACTGGTCCCTTAGCATCTTGTAGATATACATCTCCACTTGAATTTGAATTCTGTGCTTGAGAACCTTAGGCTGTTCCATAGAGGAACAGTTCCTTTGGGAAGAGGGAATGACTATTAGATGAGATTAAGTCTGTAGTATTGTTTATGATGCTAGTAAATAGTGAGATCCTTTGAACTGCTTAGGTTCAGAGCATGCATTTCAATGCATCATCTTTTCCAGTTGTTTTTTGCTCCATGTACTAACAAAGGCGGCTGCTGTCTAGAGCTGTTGACCTTACCCCTGCCCCCGGCCCACTAATATCCAAAAATAAAGATGAGTGTCAGCATGTGGAGTTTTTGGGATTCCTTCAGGTCTAGTAGAAAGTCTTTCCGGAATGATTCAAGTAGAGTTTTAGTTGGCAAGTCCCACTGAAACTGTTAGAGTTGTTAAACAAATACATTGTTTTTAGTTTTCTTTGGCTCAGACAAGCCCATTATTTTAGGAAATAGGAATTGTGTGTGAGTGTGTGTGTATGTGGGGGGGTAGACTGACACTGTGGAACCCGGCGTCTTCATTGCTCCGCAGTCCAGACAAGTCTGAAAGGGGCCAGGGAGGGAGATTCCAAATGTCAGGGACCTTTAGTTGCCAAGGGCAACATTGTGGGAAGAGAAAGAGGGTTGGATGTTACTTTTATTTTTATAGTTTCTTTGCTGTATAGTTTAAATGTGGTCCTTACATTACAATTCTTATTGAATAAATTATTGAGTGCCCTTTTATATTCAAGAGGAGAAGACAAACTTTTACTTATAGAATACTACCCTTGTCCAGTGTGCTGCAACCCAGAATCTTCAATCTAAAAAATATACTTGCATAGGATTTTTTGTTTGGTATAAGAAGAAGGAAAAGCTTTCATTCCTTGAGATATCAAAATTCAGTTTTTAAACAACAAAAAATTGTGTATAAATGAGAACATCTTGGTCTTTTGCTGGTTTTATTGTGCTGAGCAGCACCCTTTGCTAAGCACCATATCAGAGGATGTGTACATTTTCACGTCTTGTGAGGCTGCAGATTAGTAAATTTTCTAAGCTGTGGTGGTGTTTTCACAGGATACGAGGTCCACTGACCCTTGTAAGCCTTGTAGGCCTTTTACAGGTTTTGCCTGGAAAATATGCCCTTTGAACAATTACCTGCACCATCTTATCTACACTATCTTGTCTCATCAGACCTGAAATACATGTTTTCAGAGGTCGGGTCTTATTAAATCTTCAGTGTCTTTCAACAGATCTCTTCCATCTTTTTACTGGTACAACAGGAAAGTGTTGTGGCAAAAACAGTCCCCCCCCCCCGGGACTAACAACTCAATACTACCTGTCAGGTGGTAAATTTGCAAATATTTACCTGCAAATAGGTGCATGAGGCTGTTGATTCTATGCGCAATTACTCCTGCATGTGGTAATGATATTGGTATATTTTTTTGAGATTAGGCACTGTGTGTTGAGTATTTGAATAGGTAAAGGTAAAGGTTCCCCTTGACATTTTTGTCCAGTCATGTCCGACTCTAGGGGGCGGTGCTTACCCTGTTTTCAAGCCATAGAGCCAGTGCTTGTCCGAAGACAGTTTCCGTTGTCATGTGGCCAATGTGACTAGGGAACACCGGTTTACCTTCCCACCGAGGTGGTACCTATTTATCTACTCGCATTTACATACTTTCAAACTGCTAGGTTGGCGAGGAGCTGGGACAAAGTGACGGGAGCTCACGCCGTCACGTGGATTCGATGTTACGACTGCTGGTCTTCTGGCCCTGCAGCACAGAGGCTTCTGTGGTGTAGCCCGCAGCGCCACCACGTCCCGAGCATTTGAATAGTGACCCCTATTCCTTCTGGTACTGCTTTCTTACTATTACTCTTACTGATCTTTGCCTTTGTGGACTTTGTGGACTACAAATCTGCCAAGAGTAGAATATGTTTGTGTGAGGTGTAATGAATATGACACAAACTGTGACAGAGAGTTCTTGAAATACTCTCCTCTTCTGCTCATCACTTCCTTTCTTCTAACATTCAGTGGAATCCTGTGAATCCAGCTAGATTAGATTAACACAAGGAATAGTAGATTTCCCCATGAAAGCTCACATTAAAATATAATGGTCTTTAAGGTGCCACCACAGCTTTGTCTTTTTATTTGTTCTTTTATTTTATTTCCCTTTATTTTTACCTATACTGTTTGCACAGACTAACATGGCTAGCTCTTCCACAACTACATTGAGAAACAGAGCATCTGCTTGCACAGCCAAGTTGCTGCCGGCAAGTGGATGTCTGTTGGAGGAGGCGGGGCTATGAAGCACTGAACACCTGTTCAGCTGCTAAACGAGCTGAAATGAACAATCTCTAATTGTGGCATCTTGAAGACAGATGTACTTCAGTGTGAACTCTCATAGATTTTCACATGCTCTGAAGCAGACTTAACAAAACTGAAAAAAATGCACACAGTAGGAAAAATGTATACAAAATGTGTAAATACACTTTTTACAGAAAGTTCCTCTGAACTGAAGTGAACTGATACAAAATTGGAAAGGCATGCACCTTTACTTCAAAAGGTTCCAGAGCACTGGAAGGCAAAATTCACCAGTTTGTCTGACTGTGCATAGCTGATGAGAGCTCTAAACATTGAACAGGTGCAATCCATAGCAGCTAATTAACCTGTGTTCTGGCCTCAGACACTGAGATGCCCATATCAAGTACTAGTGTTGCTCCCACTGATTTTAGTGATGTGAGGAAGACAAAAAAAAAGCCTGAGTTAATTCTCTGTCTGATGCTACCAAGAAAATATTCTATGCAAGAATGTGGTGTTTAGGGTGATGTGATGATGGTGGGACCAGGTCTTTAATATTGCTGAAAAATTACTAATATCCCCTTGTGGGAAAAGAAATCTTGCTGAGCAACAATTCTGTATTCAAAAATTGATGTTGCTTTGATATGGTTGCATTTTGAAGTATGTCTTAGTATGACTTGTTAGGCTTCACCTTGAATACAATGTCCTGTTCTGGGATGGAGACAAATTAGAACAAGTTCAGAGGAAGGGAATAAGAATGATCAGGGGACGGAAAAACCAGGCCCTGTGAGGAAAGACTGAAAGAACTGGGTGTCTTTAGCCTTAAGAAGAGAAGACCGGGGTGGGGGGAGGGGGAGGAGATATGATAGCAGTTTTCAAATACTTGAAAAATAGTCATACAGAGAAGGAGCAGGATCTGTTCTCAATCTTCCCAGAGTGCAGGACATGTAATAATGGGCTCAAGTTACAGGAAGCCAAATTTTGTTTAAATAGGGAAAAAACTTCCTAACGATTAGAAAAAACTTCCTAACTATTAGAGCACTACAACAATGGAATCAATTACCTTTGGAGATGGTGAGCATTCGCACACAGGAAGCAATCAAGAGAAAGTTAGACCACCATCTGTCAGGTATACTTTGATTTGGACTTCTGCATTAAGCAAGGGGTGAGATTTGATGGCCTTATAACTCCAAATACAGTATTACCTCGGTTTGCAAAACTGATCCATTCTACATGACATTATGAAGTATGGAAATTTCGCAAAATGAAACGCCAGTTGCACTATGAAAGGGACAGGGCTATAGGCACAATGCACCCTGGGAAAACCCTTTCATAGTGCGTAAAAAAGAATAGAAAACAACATAAACCAGGGCTTTATTTCTTA